TTGACATGTTGTGCAAGGGACCTAGGGGGAGGTAACTGAATCATGGAGGCTGGTCTTTCCCATGCTATTCTCATGATAGTTAATAAGTCTCACGAGATCTGATGGGTTTATCAGGGGTTTCTGCTTTTTCTTCTTCCTCATTTTCTCTTGCTGCCACCATGCGAAGTGCCCTTTCACCTCCCGCCATGATTCTGAGGCCTCCCCAGCCATAGGGAACTGTAAGTGCAATTAAACCTCTTTTTGTTCCCAGTTTCGGTATGTCTTTATCAGCAGCATGAAAATGAACTAATATACTACCTCAGATGTCCTGGGCCTGTAGGATAGATAGGTGGAAAATGCAGCCCAAACTGGTATGTTCCTCAATGCCAGGTACCCCAGAAACTATGCCCAGAGAAGAAACAGTGGCACAGAACAAGCCAATAGAGGAATTGTGGACTGCCTTCCCTACTCTGGGCAGAGTTGGGTGTACCTCATGGGCAGGCCAGACTCTGCTTTACTCTGAAATCCCTGGGCAGAGGGGTTCCCAAGGCCTCTAAGAGTAGGCCTGGATTTTTCTTCACGCACAATCAATACTTTTCTAATAACAGGCTATGTTAACATAAACTTTTCCAATCCCACAGGCCTGGCTCCCCATCTTGGTCCTGCAACTTCTGAAGGGCTTTGGGCTTTGGGTCTTTTTGTAAAAGGAGGTAAATAGAATCATTGAACTGTTGTGAGAACTAGAGGCAATGGCATATAAGTCACATAACAAGCATTTTATGAATTATACCTTATTGGTCTTGTAAAAGATATCCAGATTCTTCAAGTTTTTAAGAAAATATCCTTCATTCAATAATGTCTTTGAGCTGCTCCCTAACCAGGGTTTCCTGGTTCTAGCCCAGCAACTCAGGATTGTTTCTCAGAAGAAATAATGACTAGAAGAAATCAGCTAGCTGTTTCTTGTCTCTGGGAATTTCCACTCTGGAGCCTTTTACCTTCCCCCCAATTCATTATTTCAACAACCATTTATTGCAAACTCTGTTCAAAACACTGCTGCAGCAGCTGGGGCTGGTGGTTCATGTCTATAATCTCAGCAACTTGGACTGAGGCAGGAGGATTGCTTGAGGCCAGAAGTTTGAGGCGCCAGCGAGTTATGATCATGCCACTACACTCCAGCCTGGGTGACAGAATGAAACTCTGTCTCAAAAAAAAAAAAAAAAAAAGACAAAAAACACTGCTGTAGAAGAAAATACAAATATGAAGTCTTTGTCTTCAGGGAGCCCTCAGTACAGGGTAGCAAACAAAAAAGCAGTGCTAAGTAGAATCCTTGTATCATAATTTGCTTAGTAATCAGTCTTTATCACTTTGCAGACTGGTTAACCTCATCAGTAGGTTGTTTCCTATTGTCTCTTAACTACTTTCTCTCACATACTTGCTTAGCACCTAGAAACTGCACCTATCCTACAAACCCCAAAGATGAAACAGTCCTTTATATTAACATAAAGATGCAGAAAGAAGTTACACAGTAGGGCCTAGATGTCCCTATCTTAAGTCCATTTTGGCTGCTGTAACAAAATGCTGTAACAAAATACTTGAAAGGGCTGGGTGTGGTGGCTCACGCCAGCACTTTGAGAGGCTGAGGTGGGTGGATCACCTGAGGTCATAAGTTCGAGACCAGCCTGGCCAATATGGCAAAACCCCATCTCTACTAAAAATATAAACATTAGCTGGGCGTGGTGGCGTGCGCCTGTAGTCCCAGCTACTCAGGAGGCTGAGGCAGGAGAATTGCTTGAACCTGGGAGGCAGTGGCTGTAGTGAGCCAAGATCATGCCAGTGCACTCCAGACCTGGGTGACAGAGTGAGATTCCATCTCAAACAACAACAACAACAATAAATATACAAGAAGGAAAAGGAGAAGGAGAAGGAGAAGTAGGGGAAGGGGAAGCAAAGGAGGGGAGGGGAGGGGAGGAGAGGAGGAGGAGGGAGGGGGAGGAAGGCTAGGGTTACAGTTGCTAAGCTGTAAATCCCCAAGCACTTGGGAAGGCCAAGTGGCGAGAATTGCTGAGCCCAGGAATTTGAGACCAGCCCTGGGCGACAATAGTAATGACCCTGGTCTCTATAAAAAAAATTTTTTTTTTTTTTGAGACAGACGCCAGTCTGCCTCTGTCCGCCAGGCTCGGAGTGCAGTGTCCGGAATCCTCCAGCTCACTGCAAAAGCCGTCCGCCTCCCCGCTTTTACATTCTCCTGCCCTTCAGCCTCGCACGTAGCTGGACTTACCAAGCCCCGCCACCTCGCGGCTAGTT